CCAATGCTTAAGCGTTGGTTCGAACAAAAGCAATACTATTAATATTGACAGATTGACACTGCTAGCTGGCGGGCCTTCCGGCAGGGATGGCGCCCACATCACCGGACGCCTCGTTGTCGCGCAATGCTGCTTTAGACTTAGAACAGTCTCAGTCTCCAGTTATGACAGCAGCGCTGGACGAACATGACAACCTCGAATGCAGCACACGTGAGAACTCTGTTTCCTGCATCATCGCTGGGTCAATGTTGGAGCCTTGCGCCGGACTTCTCGGCTGTCGGCTGAAAGTTGAAAAGAGGCTAGCAACGTCTGTCTGCCCTCACGCTCACACATTGCTTCCTACTTGGATTGCCTATTCAGTTAAAATTTACATACAACCTTATAAACCCTAAACCCTGAAACCGAGGACTCTATGTCTACAGCAGGGAGACATACGCGCCGCCAGGCCAGTCGTCGAGGCCCTACTCGATGCCAATCGCACAGGCTAAGACTTTCTAAGATCAGCATGCGCTTTGCAAAAACTTCGAATGTGCCGCGATCCCTTGAACATTGCAGTTGCTGGGTGTGGTCTGGGGGCCAGTTACACCTGCACTCCTTTAGACCTGGATCCAGGGAAGGTGGCCCATTCAGTCGGTGACTCCTCAGGCTCAGCCCGTAAGCAAGCCGATCTTGTTCAGAAGATCCGCTCGTGAGCTGGACTGCTCACCCTGACCGGCCCCATCATCGTCATCCTGCTTGACGAGCGCATCTGCCGTAGCTTTCCCCTCGTTTTTTTTCTTGCCCTTCTGGTTCTTCGGCGCGTCACCGTCCGCTGCTTGCATCGCCGCGGCAAGACCCGCATCGTAGAGGCTCTTCTCATTTGCGTCCGTCATCAGAGTCAGCACTCGCGAAGTCAGCCTCTGAGCCAGCGCCTGCATATGGGCACTGGTAAGGCAGACCCCCAGGAAGGGGATGCGATTGCGAATCGCAGTCATCGCAAAGTGGCCGGATCCGCAAGACAGGTCCACCACGCTGCTGGCACCGAGGCTGTGCAAGAGCTCCATAGCCGCCACTTCCGGGCACTCGAAAAAAAACGCTGGCTGGAGATCACTGGGCTTCGGCTGCTGCCCATCCTTGTCTGCATCGGCGGACACAGCAATGTTCTGGGTGCCCAGCACTTTCTTCTTGTCAGAAGTCTTTAGTTGCCAGGTTTGCGAGGCGTCAGTCCACGAGGCTGCGGTGAGTGGGCCGATCACGTTGCCACGAACCTTCTGGCCCGCCAATGAGATGCGTGCACGGTTCTGCAGGCTCAGCGGCGAGCTCGTAACCATGTACACCGTCTCGATCTGAGACAGCTGTCCGTTGCTGTTGCGCAGCATGCGCTCCTGTCGGCGGTGCGTCTTACTGATAAGACCTCAAGTTCAAGAACATAAAACATTGAAAGTGATGCAAGTGGCCTCCAGGGACTCTGACGTGTACGTGATGTACTGCTTGGTGATGTGCATGGACTTGGAGTCCGGAATGGCTTTGAGGAACTTGTCTTCAAAGTCGGATTTTCCTCCATCGAGCCCCAGGATGCAATCTCCCTCAGCCCACGTAGAGCCCTTCGCACCGTAGACGGCTTCGAGAAGTCTCGTCAACTGGAACTGTCGTGTGGGTGGTAACCGATATCTGCCATTCTCGCAAAGCAACTTTGCGTCCACAGTTATCACCGCATACTTCTTGGGGGCTCCTGCAGTCAACAGAGCTGCCGCATCCTTCATGTCAGCCTCGATGTCTCCGCTGTTCTCCTTCTCGTGGATAAGCCTGCAAAGGCCCTTCACACGGCGTTCGGCCTGTCTCATGCCCGCCTCGACCTTGGCGCGAACCTCCAACATCGATGACTCGGTTGCGTTGGCCGTGTTCTGCAGGAACATCTCCGCGGCACTGCGGTTGCAATCCAGAAGCGGCGGTGCCTGGGTCTGGCGGGAACTCACTAAAGCAATCAATCCTGTTCGTCTTCAACCCTTGCCTCTCAATCAACTTACATGCAAACCGTGGCACCGGCTCCGCACCGTCGCCATCCTTTGCCACAGCATCGTCCTCGCCCTCATCCGCGGACTCCTCCTGCACACCCTGCTCTTTCGCGTACTTCGTGTCGATGGAAGTCACGAGGGGCTTGATGTCCGCATGGGCAAGCGTGTCCTCGATGCCCTTGCGGTTCTTCAGGCAGGAAACAAGGGCATCATCCTTTTTGTAACCATACACCACCGACTCAATCGCCAAGAGCAAGGCATCAGCTGACTCCGGCCAGCTGCCCCGCTCCTGAAAGCCAATCACCTCCACATCGATCGCGCCGAGATGCTCTCGGCAAGTCTCCACATCGATTGTCAGCTGCTTGATGCGCTCTTTGACAGCTGTTGACCACGAGTAGCCCTCCAACTTCTTCCAAAGCGCATCTCGGATCTGTCTCTTGAACAGAAACAATTGCACCAGCGACTTCCCGCCCCAGTTGGCCGTGGTTCCTTCCAGGATGCTCAGCGGGATGGCATCGCCGGCGTCCTTCTTCTTGCCTCTCAGAATCAGATGAGGGTTTAAGATTTAGGGGTTGAAGGCTTTCTTAGATTCCATCCGCCCTACTACGGTTGTTTGGAACGCCTCTTAGGCCGAAGCTACCGGTCGGCCAGCCATTTGTTGGGATTCACCACCACCACTACCCCAGTACACTCGGGATTGAAGGCACATTATCCTCGGCGAATCCAAACGTACACCGGCCCGGGTCGGTGTACATTTCACGGTTCTGGTTGAAATTTAGGGTTCAGCAGCTCTGGTCGAGCAGCTTTGAAGAGGCGACGCGTACAAGCTAGATGTTTTGACTCCTAGGGGCCCTGCTTTTGACAGATGTATTTGAGCTTTGAGGCAAGGCGTACAAGCTAGATTAGATGTTTTGACCCCTGGAGGGGCCCTGTTTTAGAAGACAAATGTTTTGAGCTTCGAAGAGGCTAGGCGTTACAGGGTTGAGGGTTGGTAGTGGACTGACTTATGACCCAAAAAACCCTCAAGAACCATGACCATCGCCTGGCGTGCCGCCTGCGACGTGGAACCAGTCCCATGTCATGGAGAATGCCCACTCCATGTTGTTCCGAGACTTGTCAGACTTGGTCATGATCTCCCTGAGCTTGTAGACGGAGTCGATGGGGTTGTCGAGGCCCATCTCGTCGAACCTGAGGCAGATGTTCCGAACCTTCTCGTAGCAGAGGGCGTTTTTGTGCAAGCTGAGGCTTATCTCGACAAAAGTCTGGCTCACCTTCTCACTCCTCTTGCAGTATCGAAGCGTCTTGTAGTAGGCTGCCAGTGATTTGTTCGTTTGGCGCTCTCCCCCATCCTTCTCCAGCTGGGCCTTCATGTCAATGACTTCGAAGGTTCGCATCAAAGCACTCACGCGAAGATTGTCGAACAAGACGCCGATGTCCTCCCTTTCCTGCACCAGGGTCTTCATCATCAGGTCGATCTTGTGCTCCTGGTCGGACTCCACGACCGTGAACCGCATTGGCACAGACAAAAGAACGTCCCGCCATCCTTCCAGCGTGGAGTCGTCGGCGCCTGACTCGATTGCTTGAGCGACAGCCTGCCTCAGGCTGTCTCTCATCTCCGGCGGGTCGTACGCAAGGAGGTTGCCCTTCATCTCGTGAGGCCTGCAGCTGCTGCTTGGAAGCACGACGCGCACTTCGGTTTTGAGGTAACCGGGCTTCGTGAAGAAATGAGCTTGAAGGTCGTTGATGCGGCTCTTATATTTCGGTAAATTGGGCTGCGCTTCCCAACCCACGTTTAACCAAAATAACGGAGCCGATGCGACATAGTCTTGGGAGGATGACAGACGCTCCTCTGCGACCTTTGGGTCGTACTTCAGCACGCCAGAGCCGGAGGACGGGAGCTCCTCCATGATGGAGTGGAAGACCGGGTGGGACAAAACCTGAGCGTCGCAATGGGCCAAGTATGCCTGGATGTTGGCGTTGATGGCACTGGGACTGATCGCTGCCGGAGCCACAGTGACAGGCTTGGCTTTCGCATTGGCCGCCTTTGCTTTCGGAGCCCTTTTCGGGGCCGC